GCTCTGAAATCAATAAAAACGTGTTTTTTAAAAGTGCTTCCCGCAGAAGCCGGTTTGGCTCAGTGGTAGAGCGTCGGTCTGCGGACTGAAGGGTCCCGGGTTCGATTCCGGTCAAGGGCGTGTACATTGGTTGCAGGCATATCCCTGGTAGGGCGTGTGCAGGAGGCAGCTGGTCGATGTTTCTCTCTCATCAACGTTTCTAGCTCTCTATCTCTCTCCCTTCCTCTCTGTAAAAAATCAATAAAGTATATTTTTTGTAAAAAATAAAAATTAAAAAATAAAAGTGCTTCCCGAGGTCCAATCAGATGCGGAGGCGAACAGCAGTAGCTGTGGGCGGGTCACTGACAGGGACACACGTTCACTTTCCTAACCCGCGGGGGAGGGGCCTGGGCGCCTCCCCGGGGCCCTGGTGACCAGCGGGCAGGGAGGCGGGGTCCCTGTGCGGGGCCCGCTGTCCCCGTCCTCACTCGCTGCGACTGCACCCCCATCTCTGTCCAGGCCAACGTGGATGAGGCCGCCTGGAGGCGCCCCCGGGAGGCTGAGGGGCTGGTGGCCCAGGGGGGACCCCAGGCCTTGTGGGGAGGGGAAGAGGGGAAAAGGGGGTCCCCCGGGACTTGGGGGGACAGTCATGTGGCTGGGAACCTCTCTCCTCGTGGGTTGTCTCCGGGCAGACACCGCTGACCAGGAGCAGAGCGCGTGCCAGGGAGGGGCACCGTCCGCGGGCTCGGTCCTCCGTCCGGGGCCGGAGCCGACCAGAGGGGCCGGCAGCCGGGGGCCGGGCTCTCTGAGGGGCCGGGCTGGGGCTCCCGCTCAGAACAGGCTGAGTGTGAGCAGAGGGAGGAGGCGGCCCGGGACAGGGGGCCCTGTGGGGGAGCAGGTGGCCCCGGACAGGGGTTCAGAGGTCAGGGACAGGGTCTTCCCAGCTGGGCAGAGTCCAGCACCCACAGGCCCGCTGCCCACAGATCTCCCTCTGGGCGGGCTGGGCAGGAGGGGCCTGCAGGCTCAGAGCCACCTGTGCCACCCTACCCCCCCCCGGCCTGGCCACACACTCCGGGTGGGGCTGTGGGCGGGGGGTGCGGGCGGCGGGCAGGACACCAGGTCCCTGTGGCAGGAACACGGTGGCTCTGGCCCCCTGGCACTGGAAGGCCTGGCCCTGGCCCGGTGCGTTCCGTCCTCTGCCCGGGCACAGGCTGGCGCTCGGAAGGGGGTCAGAGCCGGGGGGCCGGGCAGAGGGGGACGGTGTCAGCAATGAGAAGGCGAGAACCAGAGACCTGGGAGGCACCTCCCCTTCCTGCCCCCTTCTTCCTTCCCCAAGCAGCCCCCCCATCTTCAGCGGGCAGATCTGAGGGGGCCCGCCCCAGCCCCCCGGCCCTGCACCCACTCCCTGCTGCCTGGCCTGGGGAGGCACCTGTGGGCCGCGGGGCAGGCCTGTCGGAGGCACTGAGTGGGCAGCGCCCGGGGCCCCGTCTCCCGGTGGCCGGATGGGACCTCCGTGGGCCCTGTGGGTGCTGCTCGCGCGGCTGGACGCCCTGGCGGGAGTGACCCCGCCGTCCAACAGGCCGACCACCGTCCAGAGCCAGGCGTCCTCAAACTTTTTAAAGTGGGGGCCAGATCACGGTCCCTCAGAGAGCTGGAGGGCCGGACTATATGAACTACTAATCTCTACTGTAACACCTCGGCTGCGCTCACTGCCCAAAAAACCTGGGGGGCCGGATCAGACTCCTCTGCGGGCGGCATATGGCCCGCGGGCCGTAGTTTGAAGATCCCTGGTCCAGACCAAGCAGGCCTTCTGGGTGGACAAGGTGGGAGGGCGGGGGCAGCAGGCGAGAGGCAGGGAGAGGCAGGCCTGCAGAGAGGGGGACCGGCTCTCAGACCCCGCCCCTGCCACAGCCCTGGGGAGACCCCTGAGTTCCACCGGAGCCGGCACCCAGACTGCAGCCTTCACGGCCCCTGCCAAGGGGACACCCCGTCCCTCAGAGAGGCAGAGGCCGACCAGGGCCCTGCTCTGCCAGCCCCAGGGGCCCCTGCTCCGGGGGGCTCGGCCTGCGGGCACCGTCCGCGGGCTCGGTCCTCCGTCCGGGGCCGGAGCCGACCAGAGGGGCCGGCGGCCGGGGGCCGGGCTCTCTGAGGGGCCCGGCTGGGGCTCCCGCTCAGAACAGGCTGAGTGTGAGCAGAGGGAGGAGGCGGCCCGGGACAGGGGGCCCTGTGGGGGAGCAGGTGGCCCCGGACAGGGGTTCAGAGGTCATGGACAGGGTCTTCCCAGCTGGGCAGAGTCCAGTACCCACAGGCCCGCTGCCCACAGATCTCCCTCTGGGCGGGCTGGGCAGGAGGGGCCTGCAGGTTCAGAGCCACCTGTGCCACTTCCCCCACCCCCCCCCCCGGCCTGGCCACACACTCCGGGTGGGGCTGTGGGCGGGGGTGCGGGCGGCGGGCAGGACACCAGGTCCCTGCGGCAGGAACACGGTGGCTCTGGCCCCCTGGCACTGGAAGGCCTGGCCCTGGCCCGGTGCGTTCCGTCCTCTGCACGGGCACAGGCTGGTGCTCGGAAGGGGGTCAGAGCCGGGGGACCGAGGGGAGGGGGACGGTGTCAGCAATGAGAAGGCGAGAACCAGAGACCTGGGAGGCACCTCCCCTTCCTGCCCCCTCCTTCCCCAAGCAGCCCCCCATCTTCAGTGGGCAGATCTGAGGGGGCCCGCTCCAGCCCCCCGGCCCTGCACCCACTCCCTGCCATGGTCCGGTGAGTGGGGGTCCCGGCCTGCGCCCCGAAGCCAAGGCCCCGGCTCAGGTCCCCCAGGCCTCCTGATGCCGGGGCAGCACCGGCTGCCGTGACCTAACCCAGCCCTGGGGGTACACCGAAAGGGGAGGGGGAGCATTAGCCAGAACAGACTCAGCCGAGGGCTATGGGCTTCAGGCTCGGCTGGATCCAGCAGCCCAGACGGTGTGAGCAGGGCCTTGTCCCCTGCCTTCCCTCTGCCTCCTCCCCTCTGTCCCCTCCTCTCTCAGCTCTGTCTCCTAGACCCCATGCAGCCAGGTCCTCACCTCTCAGGACAAGACGGTGGCAGATCCCCACCCTCAGGGTCCCAGGCCCAGGAGAGGGTGCACCCAGGCCAGCGAGGCCCTGAGCGCCACTTGGTCTTTTTTTTAAAAAAAATTGATTTCAAAGACAAAGGGAGAGAGAGAGAAACATCAATGATGCCCTGTAAAAAGTCAATAAAATATATTTTTTATTAAAAAAAATTAAAAAAATTAAAAAATAAAAGTGCTTCTTGAGGTCCAATCAGACGCGGAGGCGAACAGCAGTAGCTGTGGGCGGGTCACTGACAGGGACTCACGTTCACTTTCCTAACCCGCGGGGGAGGGGCCTGGGCGCCTCCCCGGGGCCCTGGTGTCCAGCCGGCAGGGAGGCGGGGTCCCTGTGGGGGGCCCGCTGTCCCCGTCCTCACTCGCTGCGAACTGCACCCCCATCTCAGTCCAGGCCAATGTGGATGAGGCCGCCTGGGAGGCGCCCCCGGGAGGCTGAGGGGCTGGTGGCCCAGGGGGGACCCCAGGCCTTGGGGGGAGGGGAAGAGGGGAAAAGTGGGTCCCCCGGGACTTGGGGGGACAGTCATGTGGTTGGGAACCTCTCTCCTCGTGGGTTGTCTCAGGGCAGACACCGCTGACCAGGAGCAGAGCGCGTGCCAGGGAGGGGCACCGTCCGCGGGCTCGGTCCTCCGTCCGGGGCTGGAGCCGACCAGAGGGGCCGGCGGCCGGGGGCCGGGCTCTCTGAGGGGCCCGGCTGGGGCTCCCGCTCAGAACAGGCTGAGTGTGAGCAGAGGGAGGAGGCGGCCCAGGACAGGGGGCCCTGTGGGGGAGCAGGTGGCCCCGGACAGGGGTTCAGAGGTCAGGGACAGGGTCTTCCCAGCTGGGCAGAGTCCAGCACCCACAGGCCCGCTGCCCACAGATCTCCCTCTGGGCGGGCTGGGCAGGAAGGGCCTGCAGGCTCAGAGCCACCTGTGCCACTTCCCCCCCCCCACCCCCCCCCGGCCTGGCCACACACTCCGGGTGGGGCTGTGGGTGGCGGGTGCAGGCGGCGGGCAGGACACCAGGTCCCTGCGGCAGGAACACGGTGGCTCTGGCCCCCTGGCACTGGAAGGCCTGGCCCTGGCCCGGTGCGTTCCGTCCTCTGCCCGGGCACAGGCTGGCGCTCGGAAGGGGGTCAGAGCCGGGGGGACCGAGGGGAGGGGGACGGTGTCAGCAATGAGAAGGCGAGAACCAGAGACCTGGGAGGCACCTCCCCTTCCTGCCCCCTTCTTCCTTCCCCAAGCAGCCCCCCCATCTTCAGCGGGCAGATCAAAGAGGGCCCGCCCCAGCCCCCCTGCCCTGTACCCACTCCCTGCTGCCCGGCCTGGGGAGGCACCTGTGGGCCGCGGGGCAGGCCTGTCGGAGGCACTGAGTCGGCAGCGCCCGGGGCCCCGTCTCCCGGTGGCCGGATGGGACCTCTGTGGGCCCTGTGGGTGCTGCTCGCGCGGCTGGACGCCCTGGCGGGAGTGACCCCGCCGTCCAACAGGCCGACCACCGTCCAGACCAAGCAGGCCTTCCGGGTGGACAAGGTGGGAAGGCGGGGGCAGCAGGCGAGAGGCAGGGAGAGGCAGGCCTGCAGAGAGGGGGACCGGCTCTCAGACCCCGCCCCTGCCCCGGCCCCGGGGAGACCCCTGAGCTCCACGGGAGCTGGCACCTGGGCTGCAGCCCTCACGGCCCCTGCGAAGGGGACACCCCGTCCCTCAGAGAGGCAGCGGCCAGCCAGGCCCTGCTCTGCCAGCCCCAGGGGCCCCTGCTCTGGGGGGCTCAGCCTCTGGGCTCGGCCTGCGGGGGCTCGGCCTGGGGCGGCCCGGCCTGGGGAGGCTCGGCCTGGGGGGGCTCGGCCTGGGGGGGCCCGGCCTGGGGGGGCCCGGCCTGGGGAGGCTCGGCCTGGGGGGGCTCGGCCTGGGGGGGCCCGGCCTGGGGGGGCTCGGCCTGGGGGGGCCCGGCCTGGGGGGGCCCGGCCTCGGGCCCGGCCCAGCCTGGCTCCCTTAGTTCCAGGGGGAGTGGTTTGTGCTGGGCCTGGCGGGCAGCACCCACAGCAAGGCGGACCGGCGCCTGCTGAGCCCGTTCACAGCGACGTTCTCCCAAAATAACAAGAAGCAGCTCGAGGTGACCTATGCCATGGTCCGGTGAGTGGGGGTCCCGGCCTGCGTCCCGAAGCCAAGGCCCCGGCTCAGGTCCCCCAGGCCTCCTGATGCCGGGGCAGCACCGGCTGCCGTGACCTAACCCAGCCCTGGGGGTACACCGAAAGGGGAGGGGGAGCATTCGCCAGAACAGAATTAGCCGAGGGCTATGGGCTTCAGGCTCGGCTGGATCCAGCAGCCCAGACGGTGTGAGCAGGGCCTTGTCCCCTGCCTTCCCTCTGCCTCCTCCCCTCTGTCCCCTCCTCTCTCAGCTCTGTCTCCTAGACCCCATGCAGCCAGGTCCTCACCTCCCAGGACAAGACGGTGGCAGATCCCCACCCTCAGGGGCCCAGGCCCAGGAGAGGGCGCACCCAGGCCAGCGAGACCCTGATCGCTGCTTGGTCTTTTTTTTTTTTTAATTTGATTTCAAAGACAAAGGGAGAGGGAAAGAGAACCATCAATGATGCCCTGGCTGGTCTGGCTCACTGGATAGAGCGTCAGCCTGTGAACTGAAGGATCCTGGGTTCAGTCCAGTCAAGGGCATTGCCAGGGTTGTGGGCTCCTTCTTTCTCCCTCTCCTTTTCTCTCTGAACTTAATAAAAATATAGTTTTTTAATAATCAGTGATGAGCCGAAACCGGTTTGGCTCAGTGGATAGAGCGGCCGCCTACAGACTGCAGGGTCCGGTTCGATTCCGGTCAAGGGCATATACCTTGGTTGTATGTACATCCCCAGTAGGGGGTGTGCAAGAGGCAGCAGATCGATGGTTCTCTCTCGTCGATGTTTCTAACTCTCTATCCTCCTCTCTTCCTCTCTGTAAAAAAATTAATAAAATATATTTCTTTAAAATCAGTGATGAGATAGAATCATTGATCGGCTGCCTCCTGCACACTCCGCACTGGAGATCGAGCCTGCAACCTGGACACGTGCCCTTGGCTGGAATCAAACGCAGGACGCCTCCGTCCGCAGGCTGATGCTCTACCCACTGAGCCAGACCAGCCAGGGCTGATGGGTCTTCCTGAGTCATGTGCCCACTTCTCCCAAGCCCCCCAGAGGCCCTGTGGTCACTGCACCCCCATCTGAGCCCACAGGCGTGCTCGGCGGCCGGGGGGAGGGGGGCAGAGGCCGCCAGGAGGCAGAGCTCAGCCTGGCCGCTGGGGGCTGGTGGCCTGAGGGGCACAGGTGGCCGCGGCCCCGGGGGCAGCGAGCCCCGGCCTGCGGGCCTGCTCACCCCGCCCCCCATTCTCCTGGGAGGCCGGTTCCGGAACCTTCCCTCTGCCTCCCCAGGGGCCAGCGCTGTGTCACCTGGTCGTACGTGCTGATTCCCACGGCCCGGCCGGACGTGTTCTCCGTGGAGAACCGCGGGGGTGAGCGGCGAGCGGGGCGGGGTGGGGTGCTGGCCGGAGGCCCCCTGACCGCTGTGCCCCCCAGAGCTCGGGACGGACACGGAGGACGTGTGGGTGCAGGACACGGACTACAGCACCTTCGCCCTCATGAGCTCCCGCCGGCAGTCCGCCCGCCGGGCCATCGTGAGGGTCCACCTGCTGTGTGAGCCCCCCTGAGTGTGACCCCCAGCGGGTGTGACCCCTCCCCGAGCGGGTGGGAGCCCCCAGCGAGTGTGACCCCCCAGCGAGTGTGACCCCCCAGCAGGTGTGACCCCCCAGCGAGTGTGACCCCCCAGCGAGTGTGACCCCCCAGCGAGTGTGACCCCCCAGCGAGTGTGACCCCCCAGCAGGTGTGACCCCCCAGCGAGTGTGACCCCCCAGCGAGTGTGACTCCCCAGCGAGTGTTACCCCCCCATCGAGTGTGACCCCCCATCGAGTGTGACCCACCATCGAGTGTGACCCCCCCCAGTGAGTGTGACCCCCCAACAAGTGTGACCCCCCCCAGCGGGTGTGACCCCTCCGTCCTCCAGCCCCTCAGCGGCCTGTGGGGCTGGTGGGGCGACCGGGGGGGGGGGAGGGGAGTTGTAGGGGACGGAGGTATAAGGGGCGGGGGTGTAGGTGGCATGGGGTGTAGGGAGCGGGGGGTGTAGGGGACGGGGGGGTGGAGGGAGCGGGGGGTGGAGGGGGCGGGGGGTGTAGGGGGCAGTTGCAGGTGCTGGGCTGGGGCCACCCCAGCGGGGAGGGGAGGGGTGTCCACCCTAGGGCCACCTGAGGGCTGAGGCCGTGCTGTGTGCTGGGCTCCAGTCCGACTGTGGGCGATTCAGACGGAGACGCTGGGAAAGTTCCTGTGTCTCCTCAAGGCCCAGGGCCTGTCTGAGGCCAACATCGTCTTCCCGGACTTTCCAGGTAGCACCCAGCCCTGCTCCCCCCCCCCCGGTCCCGCACCCTCTGGACCCCCCTGGGACCCGCTCACCCCCTGGACCCTGCCCCCCTCAACCTCTGCACCCCGTCTGCTCCCCCCGGGCCCTGCTCCCCTCTGCACGCCCACTGCCTCTGGCCTCCTGGGTCAGCACTGAGTCGGGAGGCAAAGGGGGCTCCCCAAACAACAGGCTGGTGGGGGCAGCGCCCGGGGCACCCCTCAGCCCATCCCCCTGCTCCCCATCCTGAGCGGTGTCCCCCTCAGACTGGGCGCCCTATCGGACCGCCTGCTGAGGACGAAGCGGCCGGCTGCCCGCCACCGCCCCCCTTGGGGACCCGGTCAGAGGTCACGTGGGTCCCGCCCCCGCGGAGGGAGGGTCAGTGAGGGCAGGAGCCCTGGGGGGGCAGGGGCATCGGGGTGAGTGTGTCTGCCCCTCGCCCTCTCTGACAGCTGCCCCGTCCCCTCCGTTAGAATTCACCTTCATTACACCGTCTTCTCTTCATTAGCCTGTGACCTTACTCATTGTAACCCTTTTTAATTGTTTTAATTGGTTTCAGAGAGAGGAAGGGGGAGGAGGGAGAGAGGAACATCCATGCTGAGAGAGAATCACTGGCCAGCTGCCTCCTGCCCGCCCTCACGGGGATGGAGCCGGGCCGGGCCTGGGGGGACGGAGCGGTGACCCCGGCTCCTGGGCGACGCTCCGCCCCGCCCGGCCGGGCCTCCGGTAACCGTTTCACCGGGTGTGTGCACAGCTCCGGGCGTCGTGTGTCCACAGCGGTGTGTGTGCCGGCTCTCCGGAACATTCCCTGTGCGCACCCCGACTCGTCCCGGGACACCCCCACCTCCCGACCCTGGTCCCGGGGCCCCCGCCTCCCCCATGGGTCTGACTCCCCCGGGACCCCTCTGAGTGGCCCCACAGCGGTCCTGTGTCGACTCAGCCCCCGTCCTCGCCCCCTCCCCCCCCCGTGTGGCCGCACAGTGTCCCAGGGGAGGGCCGGCGTCCGTCCGTCCGTTCTCCGTCGGCGGACACGGCTGCTCCCACGCGGCTGAGCGCGCGGGCGCAGGTCTCCGCGGCCCTGCCTGCTCGCGGCTGTGGCGGGAGGCGGGCCCATCCCAGGTCCCTGGGTGACCATGGCCTTGGGATTCTGGGTAATGGCTGTTCTCCGGAGACTCGCAGGGTCGCCCCGTCCGGTCTCTCCTGGACGCCCCCCAGCGGCTCCTGCCCCACCCCTCCCTGCGGCAGAGCTGCTGCGACGAGCCCCAGGTTTGTTTCTGAGAAAAGCCGGGTCGTGTCCACTCTGGAATGTGGCTCAGCTGCAGGGAGCTGGGCGGCCGCCCTCGGAGGCGGGAGCAGGTACCTGCGCAAACACCCGAGCGATCCCGCCGAGGCCCCCCCTGCCCCTTGCCCAGCTGCTCGGGTCAGATTCCTGTCCCCACGGGGAGCGTGGCCTGATGGGGACTCACACAGCCCCCCCCCCACTTCGCTGCGAGGTCAGGAGACAGCTGGGCCTGCTCGCCCACCCCTCACCTCGGGCCTGCAGCGGGCGGCGCTGGAAAAGGCCGCTGTGTCCAGGTGGCCTCTGCCTCCTGCTGGTCACCGGGCAGAGCGGCCAGGGCGCCCGGGGGGCCCAGGGCAGGTTCCCAGGGCCCGGCTGGGACCGGCCCCCCAGGCCCACGTCCAGGCCTCTCAGAGCCGGCGGGAGGCTGAGGGAGGGCAGCCCTGGAGGGTGAGGGCCTCCCCACCCCAGTCACTGTCCCGGCCCCAGCATGCCCGGAGGCCAGGCTGCTCCTACTCTGTCCCCGCCGGCGCCCGCCGCCCATGACTGGAGAGGTGCAGCGAGCGCTGGGTCCTCCCCCGCCCATCCTGTGACCACCTGCAGGGACGGGAACCGGGAGTGGGCGCCAGGAGGGCTGGGCGAGGGGTCTGGCCGCTGGGGACCAGCCTGAGTGCGGAGCAGCCCGGGAGCCTGCAGGAGCTCAGGGGACCTGCCCTCCTCCTCCGTCCTGGGGCCGGAGCTGGTTTCCTGGGCTGATGGGGGAAGAGGGAACATCGTCCACTGTTCATGCTCCTGCACGCACACACACACACACGCACACACACACACACAGACACACACACACAGACAGACACACACAGAGACACACACACACAGACTCACACACACAGACACACACACACAGACACCCACACAGAGACACACACACACACAGACACACACACACAGAGACACACACACAGAGACGTGCACACGCACACAGACGCAGACACACACACACACAGAGACACACACACAGACACGCACAGAGAGACGTGCACACACACACACACACACAGAGACGTGCACACGCACACAGACACAGACACACACACACAGAGACACACACACAGACACGCACAGAGAGACGTGCACACACACACACAGACATGCACACACACACAGAGACACAGAGACACGCACACACAGACATGCACATGCACATACGCACACACGTTACGCACAGAGACACACATGTTGCGCACACAGACACACCTGTTTCATACACACATGTTTCCACACAGAGGCACGCACACACGTGTATATACACGTGTGCACATAGACATGCACACAGAGATACATGCACACAAAGAATTGCACATAAACGCATGCACACTCATTGCACACACATAGACACACACACACCTGCATGCATACGCACTCATGCACGTGCACACACATGTGCACGCAGGCGCCTGCCCCGCCCGCCTCTGGGAGGGACACCGTGTCTCTGTGAGTCTGAGAGCTCCCCCTGGCGGAGGAAAGCCTGGCAGGAGGACTCATCTTCTCAGCTTCCCGGATTAGTGCGCTTGGACTTCCACTCCCTCCTGGGCCGGACTCAGCCCTGGGCAGCAGGTGACCCTGAGCCGCTGCGCCCTCAGCTCGGTCCCGGCTGCCCCGGGCTATCTGAGCTGCCCCCGGGGGGCTGGCCGAGCTGCCCGCGGCCCCCGGGGGGCTGGCCGAGCTGCCCGCGGCCCCCGGGGCTGGCGGGGGCGCGGGGGAGGCAGACCCCACGACGGGCCTGTCTCCGGTCCCCACCACACCTGCCTCCACCGGCATCTCAGGGGCTTGGGGTCCCGGGGGCCGCCGCCCGGGGCGTCTCCAGGCCCAGGAGGCCATGCGGCACCCACAGCTCCCTGGGCCCTCCACCGGAGCCCTCCCCAGGCGGAGCGGCAGGTGGTCCCTGAGCCCGAGGCCCTAAGCACCACCTGGGGTGACTAGTCTGTGCCAGCTCACGGTGGCTGAGCCTGCTGGGGTTCAGGGCAGAGGGGGCAGCCCGGCGTGACCTGGCGTGACCGGGCGTGGTCTGGGCTCGGCGTGGGGGCGGGGTGAGCTCGCCTACGTCCCCCTCTAGGTTTTACAGATAAAGCTGCTCTGAACCCTGATCCCGGTCGACCTGCTTATTTCTGGGGAGCGGGAGGGGGCACGTGAAGGGGGACCCCCAACATTTCCCCATCTGGGGGGCGGAGCAAGACAGCCCCAGCCCTCAGCTCCTTGCCTGGCACCCCACCCCTCCAGCCAGGAGCCCACCCAGATCCCGGCCCCACCCTGCCTGATGCCCAGGCTCGGGGAGCTGAGTGGCAGCTGTGGCAGCTGATGGAGCCCAGCTGGGGGGCCAGGCCTGGGGACGGGGTGAGCCCCTGGGCAGTGAGCCCCTGCTGTTGTCCCCTCCACCCCTGCTCCTCACTCCTCGCCCAGCCTACCTCCCCAGGGCCAGGCCACGTCCAGGCACAGCCGTCCCCGGGGCCTGGCCCCGTCTGTGCCCACACCTTCCCCCAGCGGACACACAGTGGGTGCCCGGAGGAGCCGGAACCGACACCGGGCGAACACGGGGTGGGCGGCGGCATCTGGAGCGCCGGGGCTGGCCCAGGTGGTGTCGGTTCTCACTGGACCCCCAGCAGGCGGGGCACCCACCGGCCTGGGCACCCTCCCGCCTGGGGCCCCCTCCCGCCTGGGCGACCACCCTCCTGGGGCGCCCTCCTGCCTGGGCGCCCTCCTGCCTGGGTGCCCTCCTGCCTGGGCACCCTCCCTCCTGGCCGGGCCCCGGGCCACGGAGCTGGCCCTGCCCTCGGGATGCACACCCTGGGGGGGCTCCCTGCCCCTTTGAACAGGAGCAGCAGGTGCTGGGGAGAGAAAAGACGGTTTATTCAGGATCCGGCAGCCACAGGCCATGCTCACAGCCGCCAGGGCACGGGGTTTGGCTTGGTTTGGTTTCTTTTTCTTTTTTTTCTTTTTTTATTTTATTGATTTTCTTACAGAGAGGAAGGGAGAGAGATAGAGAGCTAGAAACATCGATGAGAGAGAAACATCGACTGGCTGCCTCTTGCACACCCCCTATCAGGGATGTGCCCGCAACCAATGTACATGCATCTGGCCAGAATCGAACCTGGGACCTTTTAGTCCGCAGACCGACGCTCTACCGCTGAGCCAAACCGGTTTCGGCTGGTTTGGTTTCTTACTGACTTTCAGAGAGAGGGGAAGGGACTGGGAGGGTGAGAGCAGAGCACGGATGGGACCCGCAGCCTTAGGCCAACACCCACCCACTGTGGGCACCGGCAGGCGGGCCCGGAGCTCAGGAGGGGGAGGGGGAGCGGAGGAACCGTGGGGCGAGGGGTCTGTACACGGATCCGCACGGCCCATTCCGACAGGACCTCAGACTGGTCCCGACTGGTGAGAGCCAGCCTGGTCCGTCCGTCCTGGTTAAGGTTGAAGGTCAGCCCGTGCCCGAGGGCCGAGCCGGGGCCTTGTGAAGTCAGTCCCTGGGGTTCCCACGTGAAGGTGCTGCGTGCCCCACTGGAGCCCGGCCTCCCAGCGCGCAAGAGCCGCAGGGGACAGAGCCAGCGGCCCTGGGGCCGGCTGCCGGCTGCCGGACGCTGCTCCAGTTGTGTCCTGCCCGTCCCAGTCTGGCTGCTCTCCAGCCCCGGGAAGAGGGGGGGTCTGGGGTTGGTCTGGGAGTGGTCTGGGGGTGGTTGAGGATGACCTGGGTGGCCTGGGGGTGACCTGAGGTGGTGTGGGGGTGGCTTGGGGGTTGTCTGGGGTGGTCTGGGGGTGGCCTGGGGGCGGTTTGGGGGTGACCTGGTGTGGCCTGGGGCTGGTCTGGGAGTGGTCTGGGGGTGGTCTGGGGGCGGTTTGGGGGTTACCTGGGGGTGGTGTGGGGGTGACCTGGGGGTGGTCTGGGGGTGACCTGGGGGTGGTCTGGAGGTGCCCTGGGGGTGACCTGGGGGTGGCCTGGATGTGGTCTTTGGGCGGTTTGGGGGTGACCAGGGTAGTCTGGGGGTGGCCTGGTGGTGGTCTTGGATGGCCTGGGGGTATTCTGGGGGGGCCTGGGTGTGACCTGGGGTGGTCTGTCGGTGGAGGGGGGGTGGTCTGGTTGTGGCCTGGGGCTGTTTGAGGACGAGGCAGCTCCTTGCACCCCGGTGTCTGGGGCAGCAGGCGAGCGCCCGCCTCCCCCCGCCCTCCCCGGGCACATGCCGCTCAGGGACATGCTCATGTCTGCTCGGCCGCTGAGCTCAGCTCACAGGCCTCTTGGGGTCCCCCCTGCGCTGGGCCACAGGTCCCCCCGCCCCCTTGTGCCCGTGAGACCTGAGGCAGTGCCAGGGCCCAGCACCTGTTTCTGGGGGGTGACAGCAGGGACCCCCACCCAGTGCCCAGCACACCCCATCCCAGGCGGCAGAGGCCGGCAGGCCAGGGACAGGCAGGGCTGCGGTTGAGTGCCCTCCCCCATCAGCCCCAGGGCAGGTTCTGTCTCTGGAAAGGGCCCCGCCTGCCCCCAGCCCCAGTCCCCGGGCAGGTTGCCTGTGTGGTCAGAGCCTTTGCAGGAGGAGTGGGGGAGCTGGGGGGTGGGGGAGCTGGGGCATCAGGCGCCACGGGGCCGGCCTTGGCTCTGGGCACAGGCCAAGCCGGGCCCTTAAATAGGGTCCCCCGGCTCTGCCCATCCTGCAACTCCCGCTCGGCCTCACTGCTGCTCCCGCCTCCAACTCTGACAACCGCTCAGCCCCGATGGCCGCTCCGCGCTCCCTGTGGATGGCGCTGGTCCTGCTGGGGGCCCTGGGGGTCCTGCCGGCCCCTGCTCTGGCCGGCTTCCAGCAGGACCAGGTGGGGCCCCTGCCGGTCCCCCGGGGAGGGCTCTGCGGAGGGAGGGGCTCTGCCTGGGCTGTCTCCCGGGAAGAGGACCGACCGGCCACGCTGCCCTTCCTCCAGCGGGGAAGCCCGTGTCCACAGGCCTCACACGGGACCCGCAGACACGCCGGCCCCCTGCCTGCCTACCCTCCAAACAGTCACCCTCGGAGCTCGGGTGCTGGGGGCGCAGGCACGGAGCTGGGACACCCCCCGGCGGGAGACGCAGACAGGGCGGGGCTGGGGGGCCGCAGACACCCGTGGGCCCGGCACTGGGTCCGTCCGCCGCCCTGCCCTTCCCTGGAGCGTCCAGATTCGTGGACACCAGCGGCCAACCCCCAGCCCCCCCAACGGCCCAGTGCCCTGAGCTGCCGCTCCGCGAGGCGCTGGGCGGGGGGCGGACTGGCCAGGGGACGTGCAGGGCGGGGGCCGACCGGGCGGCCCGGGGGCCCTGGCTGACGGGGGGCCCTGGCTGACCGGGGCCCTTGCTGACGGGGTCCGTCCGCAGTTCCTGGGGCGCTGGTTCTCCGTGGGCCTGGCCTCCAACACCAACTGGTTCCGGGAGAAGAAGGAGATCCTGTCCATGTGTCTGTCCCTGGTGGCCCCAGCCACGCCCGAGCACGGGGACGGTGTCCTCAACCTCACCACCGGCTTCCTCAGGTGGTGGGGCGGGGGGGGTGGGCATTGGGGCTGAGGGCTCCCCCAGGGCCCAGCCTGCCCCAGTGGCTGGCTGCCGGCCGGGAGCCCCACGCTTGACCCTGATGGTGCCCTGCAAACAGGGGAGACGAGTATGAGATGCGGAGCGTGCTGCTGTCGCCAACAGACATCCCCGGCCACTACACCTACACCAGCCCCTGTGAGTGACACCCACGTCGGCGGCCTGGACGCACTGCGGGTGACAGCACCCCAGCCCAGTAGGCTGAGGGCCTCCCCTCTGGGCTGGGGAGCCTGGCCTCTGGCGAGATCTGCCCCGAGCTGGGCGGGGGGGCGGGGGGGGGGCACCAGGACTCATCCTGAAACCAGTCCTGCCGGCCCCGACCTGCCCCATGGGGTCTCCCCAGACTTCGTCGCCCCCCCTGCTGGACAGGCAGGCGACAGCACCCCATCCTGGGCTCCTCCCTCTCCGGGGCGATGGGTCTCCTTCCCCCTTTGAGTAGAGGGGCTGGTGGCTGCATCCTGACCCCCTCGTTGTCTGAGCCTGCGTGCTGGCTGCCCCCGGGCTCCGGTTTGGGAACGGGTGGGGGTGCGGGGGTCCCCTGGCTCCGGCAGTGCCCAGGCTGTGCGGGCAGGAGGT